GAATCGTGAGCGTGCGTCGATGGAAATTGACCGTGTGGTCCGCGCTAGAAAGCCAAGGCATCCCCAAAATGACATCGAAGTCGGTGTCCAACACGTCAAAAGTGACGGGTTCACATGCGTGTGGTGCAAAGTACACCGGGACAGCCGAGATGTAACGGTCTAAAAGCTGTTTCGTCTTACCGCCGGCAAAAGCGTCCGTCGTCGAATGTGACTTCCTCCGTACTTGTGCGCCAAGGAGCCCGAGTCATGAAGGACTGGCTGATGAAGTTGCGAGTTGCGCCGCAATCTAGCAAAGCGTTGCAGGCCGCTTGCCCAATCTGAATGCGAACATAGAGCAACGGTGCGTTGTTTTCTTCGTACCGTTGCGAGACAAACTCGCGGGCCACCTTGGCAACATAGCCAAGCATGTCCCCCACCGCGACTTCATCTACCGTCGGCGAAGTTGGTGGTGCATGGAAGGAAAGATACTTGTGTAAGAGGGCGCATAGGGCTGCGCTTTGCGGCCTCGGAAGGTTGCCCGTCGTAGGGAGAGGAATCCAAGCAAAGTCCTCGGGCGTGAGCAGGTCCAAAGCCTCCTCGTTGAACACACTTGCCGAATCCCTTGATGAAGACGAATTGGCGGAAGAACCTTCGGACGGTGAGAAAGCCGCACATGTATCTTATCCTTGAGAAGCATCCAGTGAAGGAACGAGCCGGGCAGCGAAGTCTTCGAACGAAAGTGGAAGACTCCCGACATCCGCATATGCCTCGGAAGAAAGGGCGGTCGTGCGCACAACCTTTTCCGATGGCGTCGAGGGAGGTGTCGAGTCACCCTCGGCGGCGCCTACTTTCCCTGACGGGGTTTCCCCTTGGTGGGGCAATGTGCAGCATCGTGGATGGTGCTGTTGCACCAAAGGCAGTAACGGTACTTGAGTCTCGTGCGATAAGAATTCGTCGGGAGTCCGTATTGTGCCCAAGGTTCATCGGCGGCTGATCCGGTGCTCGGTGTAGAGGTGGACTGAGTCTTCGTCTTGTCGCGGCCGTGGTTGTTGCGCGGCCGGCCACCATCCCGGGCAGCTGCCAACACTTCACCCTCGTTTGGTGTTGCAGCCTCGGTAGAAGTAATGCAAGCCACCTTTGGCTTGGGCTGGGTGCCTCTCGTCGTCGCGGAAGATCGGCCGGCGTTGCGGGCTTCGATATTCGTGAGAATGATCCGTGACGTTGTGCTGAAAAGCTTGTCAAATGTGTCGAGTGTCTCTGCAATCTGCGTCGGCGCGTTTTGCAGAGCTGGACAYGAGCGCATGATAAACAAGTGCTTGATGGCGCGGAATGCGAGCGGCAGGTCAGGTGTGGAGGCGAGTCTTTGGAACTCGGTAATCCAGTCCTGACTGAGCAGCGTATTCTGATGGAGCTTGTTGAGCTTGTCCATCGCTTGCAGGTCGGGCGGCTCCACTTGGAATCGCTTGTGCCAGGCGTCAGTCAACTCCTGCCAAGTGAGCTTGGTATGCAGTTCCGACACTGCTACGCCGTGGCTGGTCAAGATGTTGTCCAGCCATGCTTGACATGCACCACCAGATCGGTGGTACAAGCACGGATGTCGATCGTTGTTCGGGACATGGTGCATGTCGAGCCTGAGAGTAAACTGGCGCCACCACGGGATCGGTTCCGTCTTGGACTGATCGCAGAAAACAAGAATGTCATCCTGTTTGGGTGGGCGCCTGGAGGATGCGGCGGCGGGCATCATGGTGGCAGCAGCCTCGACCTGCGTCTCCAACTGCAAGTTTGTTGCTTGCTGCGACGTCCTGAAGTCCTGATGCACACGCTTGATATTGCTGACGTCGTCCTCCAAAACTTGAACACGGGTGGCAAGGTTTGAAGGCCCTGCGGCTGCTACAGCAGCTGGCTGTTTCTCCGACGCCTGCAGTCGTGCGAGCATCTGGTCCACTATCTGCTGCAGGTGAAGGATTTCCTCCTGCTGCAGAGCGCAGGTGGCCACGAGGTCGTGGGAGACCTGCGCAAGGGCTGACAGCCCTTTCTCAGTCTCCGGGGCCCCGTCTGCAGATGCCACTTCCACCCAATGTGCGGCCTCATCGCCGATCACGGTCTCCCGCGTGAACAGTCGTTCCCGCTGGTGTGACCGGTGTTCGGCTGTCGCCTGCAGGTCTGCCTCCTCTTGACAAAGTCGGTCCCGAAAACCAAATTTCTCGGAAAAATAATTTTTCGGAAAAGAATAATAATTTCTCGGGAAAAAAACAAAAATTCTCGGAAAAAGAAATAATTTCTCGGAAAAAAATAAATAATTAATTAATTCCGGGAAATTTCCAAGATAAAAAAAATTGCCAAATAATCAATCAACTAATTAATCAATCAATCAATCAATCAATCAATCAATCTCTGATGATTGCTGGTTGATCGATCGATTGTTCGATCAATCTCCTGATTGACTGATCAATCAATCGAAGATTGGTTGGTGGCAAACCCCCAATCCAATCAATCAATCGATTGATTGGTTGCTGCCAAGATTCATCGCACTAGCTCCGATACCACTTGTAGCATATCAGAAAGTGAAATGCACTGAAAGCCTAGGATCTAGCAATGACGAAAGTGGCAACAACCAGCAGCATAGGTGCAACATTCACAAGGTGTCAATGTGCGCGATGCAAAGAGTGAATCAATGAGAAATCAACAACAACACATTCGTATCATTATTATCATAGGCTGGGAAGCAGCGCAGCGGAAGATTTAGTATCAAAAGGACATGTGGACGACAACATGAAAGGGAGAAACTTCGGA